ATCTGCCTTCCAGCAACTGAGTGGCCACAGGCAAGGGCTGGGATCACCCCAGAGGCTTCGTGCAGCCTCCACAACCTTCCACACCTTGGAGAGTTCCTTAGAGAGCTCCAGCAGCTCCTCTGCTCCTGTTTCTGGAGTTGGGGAAGAGCCTGTAATGAACTGTGCCCTTTGAGCCTTGGCTGAGCCCTCCTGGAATCATAACTTCAAGGAAAAGCTTTGCCTTCCAGTTGTTTTGGAAGTTACACTCATGATTTAGGAGTTGAAGGGGCATAAAACATTAAAGCTCTTCTTAATAAGTCTTGGCCTGGGAGGGACAGAAAATAAATCCCAGTATTCAAAGGAATATTGCTAAAATACACAAAGAATATAATCACAAGGCATTTATTTGTCATTTTTAACAAGTTTATGTTGTGCTTTTGGTGTTGGGGTGTTGCAGGGGTGGTTTTGGGAGGTGAATGTACCACATCCCTCTGTTTGCTCTTCTTCTCCACACCAGGATTGTGACAGTGAAGCAAAGGTGAAAAATCCACACTAAGAGGGATCAACTCCACTGCAAAGGCCTGAAAATGATTTTAAAAGTGCCAAGGCAAAGCACAGGGGTGCTGCTTTGGCCTTGGATGTGTGGATGCCATGGAGGGAGCAGTTCCTGGGACCCCTGGCCAGGTGTCTGTGCCTCAGCTCCCCCCTGCCCTGGCTGTGGGTGCCTCTGAGCCCTCTGAGCATCCCCAGGTGCCAGCACAGCTCCTCCCACAGCTGGCACCTCTTCAGCTCCCCTGTCCTGGAGCAAGGCATGGAGCTGCTGGAGGGCTGCAGGAATGCCTGGAGGAGGTGGCAGTCACTGAGGTGCATCAATGTGGAGGGAAAAGGCAAAATTTCAGGATGCAGCCACTGGAGCAGGCTCCCCAGGGAAGTGGTCCCTGCAGCAATCCTGCCAGAGCTGAGGAAGGCTTTGGGCAATGTTCTCAGGCACAGGCTGGGGATGTTGGGGTGTCTGTGCAGGGCCAGGAGCTGGACTGGAGGGACCTTTATGGGTCCCTTCCAGCTCAGGACATTCTCTGCTGGGTTTTGGTGCTGTGTAGGGCCGGCCCTTGGCTGTGAGCACAGCCCCAGTGCCAGCCCTGGGCTCGGGGGCTGCACCCCAGCTCTGTGCCCACCTCCTGCAGCCTCGCCTGCACTGCCCTTCACCACAGGAGATCAGCTGGGGGGAAACGGGCCTGGTGATGGAGAAAGAAAGGATGGGAAAGGTTTTGTAGGGAAGCAGCAGTGGAGGGAGGGAGGGGTCTGCAAAGGTGCTGGGTGATGCCCGAGGTCAGGAATGTCCCGGTGGCTGAGCTGGTCCCTGTGGTGTTTGAGGGGGTCCCCAGAACGAGGTGAGAGATGAGAATCTGACTCCATGTTCTCAGAAGGCTAATATAATATAATATAATATAATATAATATAATATAATATAATATAATATAATTATATAATACATAACAAAAATATATTTTATATATTAGATATAGAATTATATTATATATAATAGATAAAATATATATTTTATATAAAATACATACAAATATATTTTATATATTTAGAATTATATAATCATATATTAATATAATTATATAATATATTATTATAATATTATATATATTAGATATAAAAATATATATTATATATAGAGATAAATTATATATTATATATAAAATACATACAAATATATTTTATATATTTAAAATTATATAATCATATATTAATATAATTATAAATATATTATTATAAGATATATTAGATATAAAAACATACTATGTATATAATAGATAAAATATATATTATATATAAAATATATACAAATACATTTTATATATTTAGAATTATATTATATTATATTATATTATATTACATTACATTACATTACATTACATTATATTCTAAGACTATACTAAAGAAACAGAGAGGATGCATCCGAAGGCTTCACAAGAACGATCATGAAAGCTCGTGACTGACTCCTCAGAGTCCAACACAGCTGATGGTGATTGGTCATTAATTAAAACCAATTCACATGGAACCAGTCAAAGATGCACCTGTTGGTATCAGACAATTCTTGTTTTCCTTCTTTTCTGAGGCCTCTCAGCTCCCAAGCACTCCTGGGAAGGGATTTTCCAGAGGCTGTCACTGACGGGTCCCGGCTCGCACAGTCTGTGGCTCCCCCTGCTGAGCCCGCCCCGAGCTCTGCTCCCTGCAGGAGCCGCAGGAGCTTCCCCGGGGCTGGAAAAGCGTTTTTGGGAAGCCCAGGGATCCCCCGAGTGCCAGAGTGGGGGCGTGGGGATGCAAGAGGGCACCATCATCACCCTGCACTGCATCCCACTGCTGGGGGATGCTGCAAACAGCCCCCGTGCTGCCCCTGGACAGGGCTGGGGATGGAGCTGGTTTGTCCAAAAGCAGAGGCTACATGCCAGCATGAGGGATCTAAAAAAGTTATTATTATTATTTAAAATTAGCCCAAAAATATATTTTCTTTAGATAAGGGGGGATTTTGGCTGAGCTGGATCACATGTCCTCTAAGCAGGCTCTGTCAGTGGGGTGTTTCCATAAAGAAAAGAGGGAAAATCATAGAAATACTGAATGGTTTTGGTGCAAAAAAAAAAGAGATAATCTTCTGCTGTGGACAGGGACACCATCCACTATCCCAGGTTATTCCAAGCCCTGTTTAACCTGGCTTTGAACACTTCCAGGGATGGGGCAGCCTCAGGTTCTGGGGACAACCTGTGTTATGGCCCCAGCACCTTCTGAGTAACAAATTCCTTCCTAACACCTCATTTAAATATCTCCTCTTGTACTTTAAAGCTGTTATTTTAGTTTAAAGCTGTTCTGCTCCTGCAGGCGCCTGCTCTGCCTGTGCTGGGCTCTGGGAGAAGCCCTGGGGAGCTCTGTGGGTGCCCAGGCTGATCCCATGCCAGGGCACCCATCCCTGCCCCCGGTGCCCATTCCAGGTGTGCATTCCTGATCCCTTTGCTGACCCCAGCTAAAGCAGCTCCCTGCTGGTGGCAGAGGCCAGGCTGGCTGAGGTGGCCCCTCTGCTGCCCTGGGCTGCCAGGAGCAGCTGGGAATTTGTGTATCCTGGGAGCATTCCTGGCTGGCAGCCAGGCCAGCAGCATCACCCTGCCTCTGGCACAGCCCGCAGACCTGGGGAATTCATTACTCCCTGATCCCGAGGAGCTCTGCTGGAAAAGCCCTCTCCATCTTGCATAAAACCTTCCCTGGAGAGGGAAATCCCTTCCTGCTGGGTAGGTTGTTCCCTGGGATATTCCAGTCAGAGTTAAAAATGAGGAATTTGTACCCACAGCAGGAGCCGGGTCAGGAGAAGGGACAGGAGCATCCCCTTGGAAGGAGCACTTGCCTGGCCCCAGAGCTGGGGCTGCTTCTCCACCACCTTTTGCAATAGGCAGACATGGAATAGGAGATCATGTTCACACCTGTGGGGTTATCCAGCTCCTGCTGGGATTGTGAGAGCCCAGCAGCTGCTGGAACAGCTCCCGGCTCTGCTCCAGCTGGGCAGGGGCTGCAGCCTCTGCCAGGCGGGAGAAGGGGATCAGATTTCCCTGGGCTGGACAGGGCTCAGGTGTGGTGGAATCCAGGGGCACGGGCAGGTAAAGCCTTCAGTGTCTGCAATAGATTCACCCAGCAGCTTCTGCCAGCATGGAAATGTTTTTTGTTCTCCTCCTGCTTTTCCTTTTTTAGGACTTTTTCCTTTTGCCAGGCAGCAGGACCCACAGACTCTCCCTAACCTGTGGCTGCCATGGACTTTCCTTGGAGCCTTTTTGGCCCCTCCAACTCCCCTTTTCCAACCCAGGTGTTTCTGCCTTTTCCTTTTTGTTTCCATTCTCTGTTAGTGCAACAGCCCTGTGCTGTGAGACCCAGACAGCAGCACAGGAACCTAGAAAGGCAAATTGTTTGGAAGGAGATGGGGTTTTTTTTGAGATTTATGTTTGTCTGAGCTGTGTAGGGAGGCAAATTCCCCACGAGTGCAGGGAACCATGGCCAGTGGGCTGTGGATGTGGATGGACAGGGAAATTCAGGTGGTACTGAGCACCATGGCAAATATTTCCCTTCTGGGGTGGCCTGGCCCAAGATGCTTGGGAGCATCCCAGATAGAAGGAGCTTGAGGACAAGGTTTTGGGGTCTTGGCACCATCAGCATTTGGAGAGCTCACCGGGAGCCTCATCCTAGGAGAAGCAGCAGATGAAGTGTTCAAACCACCTGAATAAACCCTGAATGTGTTTGCATATTCTGCTCCTCATGGGGACCTGAGCCACCCAGGCTGTGGAGGGACATGAGCAGGGTTGAGACACCCTGGAGGTCTCTGGAGGGCATCCCTGGACCTGGATGCAGGAATGGCCAGGCTGATGAGGCAGAGAGGAGCCTGCAGGGCTGGCCTTGATCAGCCTGGAGATGTGGAGGCTCAGTTTGAGAAAACATGGAAAAACCAGGGGTAGAAGGTGCTGCCCTTGGCACTTCCCACAGCAGAGTATCCACGGGCAGTGGCAGCACCAGCTCTGAGCGTCCTTCCCTGCTTGATCCAGCCCCAGGAGGGTCTGAAATGTGCAGGTTTTAATCTCAGAAAGAACCCAGCTTTAAATTCCCACCCCAAAAGTCTCCACACACACACTGAGGCTCTGGGCCAAGCCTCCGTGTGCCTCTGCAGCCTCTGGGCTGTGCCAGCCCCAATTCCTGCTGATTTCCAAGGAAAATCCTTCATCTAAACAGCTCCTGGGGCATGGGCATGGATGTCCCCAAAGGGACAGTGAGGCAGCTGTGTGGGGAATGCCAGGGATTTGGAAGCTCTGCCCCAGGCTTTAAATAAAGATCCCCAATCCCCTGTGGAACTGTGGAGGGCTCCTCCCCTCTTGCCCACGGGACGAACATCTATTGAATTCTGATTTTTTTTTTTTGCCTGAAGGAGTCCAAAGCCGGCCGGCTGCCAAAAAGGGGATAAATAAGGAGGCGCCACACCCCAGTGTTACAAAACCTTGTATTAATCATCTCCCTTCACTTTCAATATAGAGCAGATATGAAATATAGCCATGGTTCCTAGTTACACGGGAGGAAATGAGTAATAAATACATGGGAGCAAGTGGAAATCACGAGGGTGTTTCACTGGGAACAACATTGGAAAACTGTACACTTGCAAAGACTGGCATCTCCAAACATTAGTATTTCTTTATATCGGGAAGCTTTTACATGTAACAAACATGCTATTGCCGTATATGACCAAAAAAAAAAACCCAAAAAAAAGAAATTAAAATTTAAAAAATAGGCATTGCTCGGCAACATTAACTAGGCAAAAATAGTTCTTTTGTGCACTAACTTTGTACAGAAAAACCAGGACAAAAGGCATGCATGGACAAGGAGAGGCTGCCCGGGAACGGCATGCAACAGAAGAGAGGTCAAAGCTCTTTAAAGTCAGCTTACAATAGGCATAAATACATCAGGGTTATATATATTAATAAGGGAGGAAGTATTCTGTTTAACATTATTAACATTCCTGTTTTTTTAATGTATTTTTCTTTTTTTTTTTTTTTCTTCCTATTCCTCCCAGAGGAATACACATTCACCTTTAAGTAAAGATAAAGGAATACAAAAAATAAAACTCACTTTGCAAACTCTGATGACTCGTATAAAATCAACTTTAGTGTTATCGTCGCTGTGTGCAAATTATAGACGTCTGCGGGACCCACCCACTTTCCACCAGGCACATTCCCAAAGCCAAACCCGACATGGAGAAAGGTGACAACAGAAATCGCTCCCCTAAGTGCTGACCCAGCTTCCATCACAGTTTGGGATTCTCCTGCTGGATGCCGCCACCCTAAACCCCTTGGGGGGCTTTGCTGAGCTGAGCTCAACTCCAGCGCAGCCGAGCTCGGGGTGTCCCCGGGGATGGGGACACTGAGGGGACAGGGTTGTGTCCACGGGGATGGGGACACTGAGGGGACAGGGTTGTGTTCCCAGATATAGGGACACAGAAGGGACAGGGTTGTGTCCCCGGGGATGGGGACAGTGAAGGGACAGGGTTGTGTCCCCAGATACGGGGACACTGAAGGGACAGGGTTGTGTCCCCAGATATGGGGACACAGAAGGGACAAGGTTGTGTCCCCAGATACGGGGACACTGAAGGGACAGGGTTGTGTCCCCGGGGATGGGGACACTGAAGGGACAGGGTTGTGTCCCCGGGGATGGGGACACAGAAGGGACAGGGTTGTGTCCCCAGATACGGGGACACTGAAGGGACAGGGTAGTGTCCCCGGGGATGGGGACACTGAAGGGACAGGGTTGTGTCCCCGCAGGTGTCGCATCCGCCGGGCCCAAGGGCACTTGTGTGTGCTGGGCTGGCCGGGGGAACAGCACCAGGAGAGGGTCCCGGCGGCGCTGGGGGGCAGCAGGAGGGGGGGATTTGCCCACCTGACCCCAGGACCCCGCAGTGGTGGCATCTCCGACAGGACAGGGAGGGGACAGCAGCGGGGATACAAAAAGAAAGGCACTGCCGCTTTATTACTGAATATTTGACCTCACTCATGCAACTGTCGGAGGAGTTTTTGTTTTCTTTTTTTTTTTCTTTCTATAAATAACTTTTATTTCTTTTAGGATTCAAGCTTTTTTTTTTTCCCCCTCCCTTTTAAGCTTCTTTCCCTGGAGCTCTGCCACCCGCACTTAGCACCGGCAGGCAGAGCCAGGCAGCACTTCCCGAACACAACTGAAGCCACTTTTTTGTTGTTTTTACTCAAAAAAACAAAACAAGAAACAGCAAACACAACTAAGTCGTTATTAACCTCTAGACTGTCAATGGAAAATAAGCTTTTTTTCTTTTTTTTTTAACATCAAAAAGGATAAAACAATTGAATTATTTGGTGGTTGTTAATAACAGACATTATCATGGTTCCCAGCCACAGCAAGTTAATAGGTAAAATATCCAAAATAATCTCTCTGAACAATCAGAAAACCTCCGTGTCCATAGTCAGCGAAGGAATAAATAGAATTTCAGCTCTGTAAATACACTGGAGTCTCCCTGAGGGAGGCCCCTGCCACGGTGGCTCTGCTCACACCTCACAAGCTGGGGGTGCTCGGGGGTGACCCAGGTCCCCAGCGCCGACCCCGCTTCGCCTTCACCTCCTCACACCTCTTCCCAACCTCCCTGGCCTTCAGGTTTTCCCTTCTCCACCCTCCCCATCACCCCCCTCCACCTCCTGTCTGCCGGGAAGCAGGACACCAAGGAACAGCAAACATAAAACATTGCATTTGGCACTTGGGTTTTTGTATACATATATATAGATATAGATATATTTCTTTTTTTTTTAGAAAAACAACTTAAAAACGCTGCATGACAAAAGGATTCACACGTCTCCCAGCCCTGCCCATGCTCTGGTTCCCCCTGAGCCCTGCTCCCTCTGATCCTAGCACACAATGCTGCCCATGTCCTCCTCACAGCCATATTTTGGAAATATTGCTGCCACCCATCAGCTCAATTAATTGATTTTATATTTATTATTATTATTCCATTGGAGGACTTGGAGCAGCATTGGGACCGGGAGAAGCATCACTGCAGGTCAGAGCAGTGCTGGGTCAGATTTACCAATTTAACACCAAATTTAGCTCCTGTTATAAAAAGCAGCAGTGGGAGAGGGGCAGCCCAGCCCCTGCCAGCCCCACAGTTAATGCCAAGAAAACAAGGCTGTGAAGCTGCATTTTGGTGCCCTTTGTGACTTGGGTTTTATTTGGGGGCTCCTTCATCAATCATTGGCCATGCTGGAAAAGCCCCTTACAGCTGGATTTGGGCAGGCTGGGCCAGATGTGTGGAGCCAGGATGCAGGAACTTCTCCCAGTGTCCCCAAATTCACAGACTCCCCCCAGGACCCTCCTCTGGGTGAGATGCCCCCGCTCCATCCCGCATCCCAATCCAACTGGGGCACAGGGACAGGCACCCCCTGACCCTCCACTGCCCTGAGCACAACGCTGCCTCCACACTGCAGATCTCTTGGCTAGACTGAAAGGAAATTTTGGGGTTATTTTATTGTTTCTGTTTCAATCTGGGCTCACCGGGTCAGCCCGCACCCGAAAGCGGCGAAACTCGAGAGATGGGACTGCCTGCTCTGCAGCCCCTGGCAGGGCAGGTGGATCCTCCCCAAAGGGTTTTTGGTCACACACCCCCACGTGGTGCTCCGTGCTCCTTGGGATCCTCTTCCAGGAGCAGGGCTTGCCCACGGTGAACCCTCCATTGTCAGCACTCTCCTCCTCCTCCTCCTCCTCCATGTCCGCCCCAACCTCCCCATGCTGCTTCATCGTCGTCGCTGAGATTTTTGTTTTTTTGCCATCTTTTCCCCCCCTTAGCATGGATGTAATAAATGACAACACAAATTCCAAGTCTAATGATATGTTCACAAGGACAATCTACACATTCACAAAATTAAAACAGGAGAGAGAGAGAGAGAGAGGAGAGGAGAGGAGAGAGGAGAAAGGATGCAAGCTATCGCTGAGGCTCCCTCAAGCCCCGACCTCGCCGCTGGACCCGCAGCAGTTGTTGTCCCGCCCAGCGTCCCCGTGGCGACGCCTTCTAGATCGTGGAGGTTCTGTCGACACCATCTGCAAGTGGGAAGGGAGAATTAGGAGCAGCCCCAGTGAGCACTGGTACCCCCCAAGCTGGGGATTTAGGGGATGGACCCCCCAGAGCACCCCCAACCCACAGCCCCTACAGGGAGGTAGTGCTGGGGCCACCCCCACCACCTCCCATCTCCCCAAGGGGTGCAGAAGGGTTTTGGGGTGTCAGCGCTCTGCTGGTCCCTCTGTGCCACCAACTGTCCCCACCCCACAGCAGCTTCCCCAGGCTGCTGTCCCAACATCAGTCCAGGCCTTCTGCCACAACTCCACAACCGCTTCCCCAGGAGCAGAGGGGGTTTCTGGGCAGCCTGGACTCGTCACAAGGCAGGTGACAGTCTGGGGCTCTCCTACAGCATGACAAGTTCATGTGTCCCTGAGCAGGAGTCAGGGGACAGGGACACAGCTGGTCACAGGGGCTGCCTTGCCCACAGTTCACCCAACCCTGCAACAGCTGCACCGCAGAGGATGCAAAGTTTTCCTCCATCTGAGGGTCGTGGAAGGACAAAAAGCCCCCAGGCATCCTTTCTGTCTCCCCACAGCCCCTGTTCCCAGCACCCTGTGACAGCAGGGATACATCCAGCCACTGCCCAACCCCAGGAGCGAGGGGTCCATGACCCACCCCAAAGCCTCACAACTGACCCCAGTACCAGCAGCCCCCTGTCCCCACCCCCAGGGGCAGAAATCAGCACCCAACAGCATTTCCAACCCTCCAGCCCTGATCCCACCCCCCATCCCCCATCCCAAACACCATCCCCAGGATGGAGAGTGGCCGGAGGCAGCTCCCAGAGTGGCTGTGGAACAGAGGATTCCCTGTTACCACTTGGGGCACTTGGGGCACCACAGCCGCCTCCCTCCTCGACACTAAAAACAAACAGGTTTGTTACGCCTTTTTTTTTTTGTTTTTTCTCCCCCGAAAGGTTTATTTTTTTAAGAGCTATTTATAGCACGACCGGTTTGGAGAGGCTCGGGGAATGCGACCTGGAAAAAATAACTTGGAGGAACAGTACCCTGCAGAGGAACAAGACAGCTAAGCCTCGGCTGGGCACGCGCCGGAGAAACGCTTCGGGTGACAGAAGTGTCCTTGTTTTCCCAGCCAGGGATGCTGCCAGGGCCCTGCTGCTTCCCACAGTCCTTGTTCTCCCGTTCCTCTCCCCAGGAAGGGCTGCTGCATCTGCAGGGAGCCTGGTGGCACTCGTCCTCTCCGAGGGCTCCTGTCCTCAGCCACGGGTCACAGTCCAGGGTTTCCACAGCAGACCCGAGCTGGTCACTGGGGACTCCGGGCAGCCACGCTCGTCCCATCGCCGGGGCCATCCCTTGTGCCTGGGCCTCCATTGGACACCAGGAGCTTCTGGTGCCAGCTGGGGCTCTGTGCTGCACGGGCTCTCCACTGCTCTGCTGCTGCTGCTGCTGCTGCCTTCCATCTTCCCCGCTTGGTTTTGCCCCGCTCCTCCTCCCTCCCCGTGCCCGTTATCCGCTGGCACCCCCGGCTGTGTGAGGACTGCCAGCACCAGGGCACGGTGCCCAGCACAGCCCCTGGCACAGCCCCTGGCACAGCCTGGCAGGGATTCACCCCTGGCCAGAGGAGGGATCCGGTGGCAGGAGGGCACAACGCTCCAAAGCCGTGACCCATCCGAGCGCGCTGGCGGCAGGGGCTTTATCGAGAGCTAACGAGAGTAGCGAGCTAACACTAATTATCATTAGCAAGCTGAAGAGTGGCTAATGAGCACAGACTCCACTGGTGCTGGTGCGATCCCTGCGTTCGGCTTTGCCCCCTGCCCCGGCCGCCTCGCCGAGAGAAGCCAAGGTTCCCATGGGAACACCCCCGGAGCATCCCTGCATCCAGCCCCGTGCTGCTCTCACAGCCACAGCCTGTCCCAGCTTTTGGGGGGCACGGGGCAGGGGCAGGTGCTGGGGGGCTCAGCGGAGGAGGCGTGGACGTGCTGGAAGAGCCCCAGGAGGAGGGAATGCTCACCGCTGAGTGCGTGCTCCGTCATGCTCAGGCACAGGGACTCCAGCCTGTTGTTGATGTCAGGTTCAGTCACCGGCACCTGGAACTCTGCAGGGACAAAGGGAATAAGGGATCCTGGTCAGGGATCTGGCAGGGACCCTGCCTGCCTGCTCTGTGTGGGAAAAACAATCTGAAAAATGCCCCAGGAGGGTCTGACAGGTCTCCCAGAAAAATCATCTTCAGCAAGAGACACTCACAGAAGCAGTCATCACCCCCTGTTATCTGTAAAGGATGAATCTGAGGGGGTTCAGGAGCTGATGAGGGATGTGAGGGGCAGCTGGAGCAAGAGCATAACCCCACCCAGGGAGGGGGCAGCCTTGGTCATCTCCTGGGGATGGATGCTGTCCATGCTTGGACATGGGATGGCAGCACAGACCAGCACAGCCACTGTCTGGCTTCTCTGGGACCAGCTTGGCTCCCACTCAGCCTCCCACGTCATCACTGCCACATCCCTGGGAGGGTGAGCACAAAAAAGGGGACACACACATGAAGTTTGGAGCGTTCCAACACCCCTGTCCTAATCTAAACAGCAGCAAACTTTCCCCACCCTGCAGCAAAACCTGCAAATACAGCTTGTGCTACTGTGCTGGATGGCATCTCCCGCTTTCCACTGGCTCACAGGAACATGGGACGAGATCCAGGAGGGTTGAGGTCCCCCCACAGCCTGGCAAACAGTGGTTTGTGAGCCCAGCATCACATCATTGCTTATTTTCCTTGTGATTTAATCCACGTCTTTGGCTCCCAGATCCTCCTACGCCCTCATCCACCGCAGGCCGACACGAAGAGAAACCCATTTATTCTCCTCCAGCGCCTGAGAAATGTGCCCTTGTCCTGGTATTTAATCAATACCTGGGAACAGCTGCTGCTCCTGCTGAAGGGAACATTTGCTGCCCAAATGCTGCAGTTTAACACCACTGGCTGCCAGCCCAAAGCAGCAGGAGTGTAGGGATGAGGGAAAGCTCACTGGGGGATGGATTCCCTGTCCCGAGGTGTAAATGGTTGTGGGGTGTTGGTAGGAAAAGGCTCAAAGCTAAGGAAGGGATACACAAAGAGGCTTCCTCAGGGCCAGGATGCTCCAGGTCCAGGGTCCAAGGTCAGAGGGATCCTCCCTGAATCAGAGGATGCTCCTATACACAGGAGCACTTTGGCAGTGCTGGGGAAGGAAGCACTGACACAGCAGCATTTCCCTTCACACGCACTGTGGAAACCATTTCCCCTGAGTGCATGAAGGCAGTCCTTCCGCAGCGGGGCTGTGGCCATCCAGCAGGAAAAGGTGATGGATCAGCCACCACCTTCCCTCCTGACAGCAGCCCCTCAGAAATGAGCTAGGCAAGACACCAGCACTGTAACACAGAGTCAAGGTGGCACAACCAGGGTCAGAAATCCCTCCAGTGATGTGTATGTTTCCCAGGAATTCAGAGATACCCCAGTGGGAACACACTGTGTGCCATGTGCCTGTGTGGAGGCTCACCAGCACAGCTCCTCTCTCACCTCCCCTCACCTCACCTGGCTGTGGGTGAGTGGAAAAACCCCTGTGCTGCCTACCTGGCTGCTGAAACATCAGCATGGTCTGCGGGGACGTGTGGACCGGCAGCGAGCGCGTCCTCTGCACCGAGCTGTGGCTCCGGCTGGGCATGCTGTTACTGCCCCCAGGGTTGGCAAACCACAGGTTCTGTGGGGAGCAAACACAGGGGTGGGATGCAAAGCAAAGCCCTCTGTGCTGTGGGTTTATAGCCACTTTGGGCTTGTAGAATCACAGAATGGCTTGGGTTGGAAGAGATCTTACAGAGAATCTCGTTACAACCCCTTACCATGGGCAGGGACACCTTCCACTATCCCAGGCTGCTCCAAGTCCTGTCCAACCTGGCCTTGGACACTGCCACGGATCCAGGGGCAGCCCCAGCTTCTCTGGGCATCCTGTGCCAGGGCCTCACCACCCTCACAGGGAAGAATTCCTTCCCAGCATCTCATCAAAATCTCCCCTCTGCCAATTCAGAACCCTCCCCGTTCTCCTACCACTATCTGCTCTTGCCAAAATCCCCTCTCCCTGTTTTATAAGCCACTTTAAGGACTCAGCTTTTCCCCTTCTGTTGCTCCCACCTCCACATCCCACTGCACAGAGGGGAGCCTAACCCAAATGCCTGCAAACTGCTGGAAGAGTGGGAAAAAAACTGGGGATGATCTGGACAAGTCAGAGAAGGAAAAACGAAGTAAGCTCGCTTGTGGGACAGGGATGGAAGAGCCAGGAATGTCAGGAACGCCGACCAACCTGTCTGCCTTGCTTGAGGATGGCAGGGCTGGCAGCAGGGCTGCGCTGGGGGGTGCCCAGCAGCCCCGTGGGGCCCAGCAGCCCCAGCCGGGCCGTGGGGAGGTTGCGGGAGGGGATCTGGAACTGCCGGGGGTTCCTCCGGGCCAGCCCCGCCCCCGCGGAGCCGGCGGTCGGGAGCGAGTTGGACTGGCCAAAGCCTCGGCTGTGGAGAGAGAGACAGAGAGAGAGAGAGCTGGGGGTGAGACACTGAGCCCTGACCATCCCAAACCACCGGGGGTGAGACACTGAGCCCTGACCCTGCCATCCTACCAGGGGTGAGACACTGAGCCCTGACCCTGCCATCCCACTGAGGGTGAGACACTGAGCCCTGACCCTGCCAACCACCGGGGGTGAGACACTGAGCCCTGACCCTGCCATTCCAGTGAGGGTGAGACACTGAGCCCTGACCCTCCCATCCCACTGAGGGTGAGACACTGAGCCCTGACCCTGCCATCCTACCAGGGGTGAGACACTGAGCCCTGACCCTGCCAAACCACCGGGGGTGAGACACTGAGCCCTGACCCTCCCAAACCACCGGGGGTGAGACACTGAGCCCTGACCCTGCCAACCACCGGGGGTGAGACACTGAGCCCTGACCCTGCCATCCTACCAGGGGTGAGACACTGAGCCCTGACCCTGCCATCCCAGACCCTGCCAAACCACCAGGGGTGAGACACTGAGCCCTGACCCTGCCATCCCACTGAGGGTGACACACTGAGCCCTGACCCTCTCATCCCACTGAGGGATGAGACACTGAGCCCTGACCCTCCCAAACCACCAGGGATAAGACACTGACCCCTCCAAGGGGGTTCTGACCCTCCCACCCCACCTCAAGGTTGAGACACTGAGCCCTGGGAGGGGGTCCTGATCCTCCCACCCTACCAAGGTGAGACACTGAGCCTCTCTGGGAGGGGGTTCTGACCCTCCCATCCCATCAGGTGTGGGACACTGACCCCTCTAAGGGGGTTCTGACCCTCCCACCCCACTGAGGGTGAGACACTGAGCCCTGGCAGGGAGTCCTAATCCTCCCATCCCATCAGGGGTAAAACACTGAGCCCTGGAAGGGGGTCCTGACACTCCCACCCCACTGAGGGTGAGACACTGACCCCTCTAAGGGGGTCCTGACCCTCCCAGCCCACCGAGGTGGTCCCTCCACCCTGCACAGGCAGTGGGAAGGAGGCAGTCTGGGTGTGCAGCATCCTCTCTTCTTCCCTTCTGCCACTCGCCTTCCCACCCTCCTGCAGTTCTCAGATCCACACTGGTTTTCTTCAAAGCTTATTTTACTCCTGCAAAATGGGTCTGTTCTTAAATACAATCTAAAATAATCCAGGTAATGCCCCTGGAACTTGATTTCTTTGAGAATTCTCATGAGTGGATTCTCCAGTGTCTAATTTAAGTTCAGCTTTTGCTGTTGCATTTTCTTTCTCCCCTTCTAGGAGGTTTGTTTTTACAAATATGGTCACCTCTGAGACTTCTCAAGTTCTGTAAAATTTGGTTAGAATGACCTAATAAATCCAAGTTTTATTAAGAAGGGCTGAGCTAAAGGAGCTGAAATCTCATCCTGGAAGTTCCTATACTCCCAGTTATCTCCAAAACACCGTCTGTTTTGGGAATAAAAAACTTGCAACAAATCAGGCTTTGCAAAATGAAACAAAGGGGTGATGTTGTTAAAAGTGATTTAAAAATCTTTTTTTTGGCACAAACCCTATGCTTTCTAGGATCACCTGAAATGCAGCATCACCTTGGAAGTGAGCAAACATGGTGTTCCCAACACAGCCCTGCCTGGCTCTCTGACTGCACCTCTGGCTCTGCAGAGCTTCCAGCCTTTTTTTCTGCCCCTTGACAGCTTTTGGAGGAAACTCCAGTGCTGATGCCATCACAAAGGGCAGCAGGGAAAGGGCCCAGTACTGGGGACACCCTGCACAGCTGGGAAGTGCTGGGTTTGGAGCCACGGAGGCAGGGTGGGATGGGAGGGAAAGGCAGCGACCACACACACCTGGGCACTGCCTGCTGTGCTCCCTTCCCAGCCAGCACCTGGGATTCCACTGCTGAAGCTTTTCCAACCCTTCCCCTTCCCTAAACACAGCTCTGAACCCAGCAGGACCCATCCCTCCCTCTGAGGGGATGTTCCCACCTGGAGTGTTCTTGCTCTGGCCACTGCATCCATCCCCCCCTCCCAAAATCACAGAATCACAGAAAAATGAGGTTGGGAGAAACCTCTAAGATCATTGAGCCCAACCTGTGCCCTAACACCTCAACTATAGCACCCAGTGCCATGTCCAGTCTTTTTTAAACACATCCAGAGATGGTGATTCCACCACCTCCCTGGGAAGAGCATTCCAGTACTTTATTATTCTTTTGGTGAAAAATTTCTTCCTAATATCCAACCTGTCCCTTCCCTGATGCTGCTTGAGGCTGTGTCCTCTGGTTCTGTCAGAGACCAACCCCACCTGTCTGCAGCCTCCCTTCAGGAAGGTGTAGAGAGCAATAAGGGCACCCCTGAGCCTCCTCCAGCTCCTTCAAACATTCCTCACAGGGTTTGTGTTCCCAGCCCCTCTCCAGCCTCGTTGCCCCCTCTGGATGTGCTCCAGCCTCTCAACATCCTTCCCAAGCTGAGGGGCCAGAGCTGGGCACAGCACTCAGGGTTTGGCCTCACCAGCACCGAGTACAGGGGCAGAGTGACCTCCCTGTCCTGCTGGCCCCACCATTCCTGATCCAGGCCAGGAGCCATTGGCCTTCTTGGCCACCAAGGCACACTGCTGGCTCATGTTCCCACTGCTGGCCCATGTTCCCACGTACCTCCTCTGCTGCCGATAGCCCGACAGCTCCAGGAGGGATTTCCGAGGGAAAGACCGGAAGAGTTTCTGCACCTGCTGTTTCCATGACAGCAGCCTCTTCTTCTGGATCTCTGTAAACGCCTGCCCAAAAAAAAAAACCAGAGAGGAAAATAGGAAATGGATGAATATTCTTGTGGACAAAGCCAGCAGGGATGTGCATGTGGCAGTGTGGGTAAAGAAAAGCAGCTGGAGCAGGTGATGGGGTGAGTTGAGCCCCATCAGAAAGTCCCAGGGGAAACACTGGTCTTTCCTCAGGATTTACTCATCTCAGGTGGAGAAAATCCTGGCAGCATTCCCTGTGTCCCAGAGTGACAGCCCAGCTCTGCCTCAAGGCTGCCAACTCCTTTTGGCAGAGCGAGGCTTTGACCGTGGGTCCTGACGGGTGGTGACACTTGTCACCTGGATGTGGCTCTAGAAATGCTGCCAGGGTGAGCAAAGCTGGGCTTTGGAAAGCTGAGCTGCCCTGTGGCATCCTGCATTCTATCCTCCTTCTCAGGGCTGGGCAGAGCTTGGCTGTGATCCTGGCACTGACAGGCTCTGGGGAGGTCACCCAGGGTGAGTCTGTCACCCACCCAGGCTCCCTGCAAAGGTCACCCTGGCAGTGACAGACCTGGCAGTGACAGACCTGCTCCCGGAGCTCCAGGCAGGAGGCGTGGGTGACAGGGACACCCACGTGCCACCACTGCTAACTTTAGACACCCCAGGTCTCTGTTGGAGAGCAGCAGAAGTCTCCAGAGGACAATCTGGAGGCTAATTAGTGCCTGACTTGATTGCTCTGAACCACTCAGGAGGAGATGCTCTCTCCTGGCGCTGATTACGCCGGAGCCAGCGCAGAGGGTGGTCCTGGGACCTGGGTGGTTCTGCTGGGAAAAGTGCAGGCACTTTGGGAAAAGTTCCATGTCCTCCTGGCTTTGCTCTCTGGTCCTCAGCTTCCACAACTTCTGCTCCCATACAGGCAGGTGATGGAAGCGGCTTCTTCCAGGTGCTGCCAGAGCAGGTAGGAGACACTGCAGGACACCAGGGACACCGGCCATCCCTCCCTGCCACCAGGCAGGAGCGTGCCAGAGCCCTGTGACACAGCCTGGGCCATCCCAAGCCATCACCCAGCCAAGGCAGATCCTCTGGAGCAGGAACAGATGGAAAATCCCTGTTGCAAAATCCCAAGAGCACGTGGTGCAAAACAGGAGGAGGCAAGGCTGAGGGATCGCCGGGTCTGTCTGATGGGAACCACCTGCACGTTCATCCCAGGGCTCTTGCTTTCATCCAGCTGCTGGTGGGACTGATTCTTGCTTTCATCCAGCTGCTGCTGGGACTGTCACGAGCCAGATGAATTTCCCAGCTCCAGGCCTTGGCAATTAAAGCAGCGTGGGGGGAAGCAACATTTCCATGCACCACGTTGGAGCTACCGGCTGCTCCAAGCCTGCTCTGTCAGAATTACTATTAATACCCCCCAAAAATATTTGTGTTAGAAACCCAAAGGTTTACATAAACAGACACTTTGGAAACAGTTTCCAAGTGATGAGAACAACAGTTTTAGATGATCTGACACGACTCACCTCGTGGATTAGACATTTGTCTATGAGCTGTAAATAGGAACTTATATTCTCTTCATCGGGTCGGGAAACTAAAAGTTGTGTGCAGACTGGAAAAAAAAAGAACAAGAGAAGGGAAATGGGGATGGGGACACCAGGATGGGGCCCAGGAGGGGTCCCACAACCACCTTGGACATCCTGTTTCCCTTGTAACCACGAGTAGGTTTTTCATCAGTGAGAAAAAACGCCCTTCCCCAATTCCTGCCATGCCTTCCTATATTTAGGGCCAGATTTTGTTCTCTGTTATGATGGTGTAAATCCAGAGTAGCACCATTGGAGTCCCCAAAATTAGACCTAAGCAACTCAGGGGCACAGGATCAATCCCTATTCATAGGCAGGAGAGCTCCTTCTCCCATGGCCAAATCTGCCCCCACTGCAGAGTGGTAAATTCCCACCTTCCCTGATGAATTTTAATCTCTTTTGGAATGAATGTCATTGAAGGAATTGGGAATGAGCTCACAGAGGAGTGAGCTTCTCCTGTTGTAAACCCCTGGCAGGGATGCCTGGGGGTCCAGGAGGACACCACATCTTGGCAGGGATTGTGCCACACTCTGCCATTTGTCACAGGAATAAAATGGGGCTGGAGCCCCACATGTGGCTGTTTCTGCAGGGAACCAGCTGGGGACAAATTCTGCACCAGGTTCCTGTGTAGAGAAAATCTCAGCTATTTTAGAAAACATCTCAGCTATTTTTTTGCAAAAGAGGTTGGAAATAGAGACAAGGCTGATATTTCTTTGTGGCACCCCAATGAGGTTCTGCCTGTTCCCAGTCTCCTGCAGATGAGAACCCCTTTCCTCTTCCCCAGGGAGATCTCCCTCCATGCAGCCAGCACTGACACCTCAGGAGCCACCAGCAAGGTTAGGGCACATCCAGGCTCACACAGATTTGCTCCAAGAACCCTGAATATTGCACAGGAGGTCAGTCCTCACCTCAGCTTGCTCCTGTTACCTCTCAATGTGTCATCCCTGGTGCAAAGCTGCACACCCTGCACTCGACAGGGAATGGCACCCGAGTATTCTGGACGTCCTGCATCCAAACTGGGACATAAAAAGGGGCTTGGAGCCACTGATTTGCACTCCAATTGGCTCATGTCCAGCCCATGCACCACTGCTATCCTACTCCAAGCAGAGTAATGGTCTCCCTACTCCAAGAGGGATGCTGCTCAAAACACCTCTGGATCAGTGGGATGACCCCAGGGCTCTGGATGGGACGAGAGAGGACATCTTCCATTCCTGACCCTGGGAAAAGTTGTGATTTCTGCATCTGACCTGGAGCAGGGAGAGGATGCTTTCCACCTTGGACCTGGAGTTTGGAATGCATGCTGTCCACCTTGGACCTCAGGCAGGCAGCTTGAGCCATTGCTGCCCCTCCCCAAAATCCCAGCCCACCTGCCCTATCTTCTTACCTCTAACCCCAGCATGACAAAAGGACCTCAAAAAACCATCACCCCTCAGGCTGGGACCTGCAGGAGCTCAGGGAAAGGCAGGAAGGGAAAAACTCAGGGAAACTCCTTCTTAGTGACGAGACTGGGACCTGCAGGAGCTCAGGGAAAGGCGGGGAGGGAAAAACTCAGGGAAACTCATCCCTGGTGAGGAGTCCGAGGAGAAATGGCAGCTGCTCACCTTTGCCCATCACTCGGGTGAACTGCCCGGGCAGGTCGCCCTCGGGCAAAGGGGCCCCTCCCGACTCGCCCTCGCATCCCGGCAGGTGGTGCTGCTGCATCCCGGCGGCCGCGGAGTCCTTGCAGTCCGAGCCTTGGCTGTCCCTGTCCGAGCCCAGCAGGGAGGAGGAGGGGTGGCCGTGGTGCGAGTCCACCTCCCTGCTGTGCTCCTCCGTGCTCGAGTTCTGGGAGGAGTAGGCTTTGATGGGGGTGAGGATCATTTGGTGCAGCTCCTGCAGCGGGACACGCAAGTTGCCACCTTCCAGGATGTCCTGTGGATGGAAGAGAGAGAGAGGAGGTTTGTCCTTGCTGGGACAACAGCAGCCCTCCTGTGACCCCCCGAGAATTCCCAGCTTTGCTCCTGCTTCAGGATCCTGCTGCATTCCACAGCCAACAGCCAGGTGTCATTCTCCAAGTCTTTTCTTTTTATCAGGGGAGTGCTGCAGGGACTGTGTCTGATTATCCATGGATGTGTTCAGAATTGAATCCCCAGAGATAAATGTGCCCCCATCACTCACTGGGACCCAAACCCAACAACAATCCAGCTTCAATGTCTCCACATTTCCACCAGGGTAATGGCAAGTCCATGGAAGTGACTGAGCCTGGGAGATTTCAATGCCCAGAGCAGCAATAATATATTTTAAAATATCAAGAATTTTGCGTATTTTAAAAATATATCACATCATTGAGTGCTGAGCTGATAGTAAAAGGAGGCTTTGGCTTTTCCTAAGGAAAAGGAGCCCTTGGAGATCTGTCCCATTGTGCCAGTGAGCCTTGGAAGGAGTCAGATGTGGTTCTGACAGAGCAGATGGCAAAAATATATTTGTTGGTTCCCCAGCAATCCTACAATCCCAACATTTCAGCTCCATTTCACTGGAATTACATTAACATGGGCTCGTTTCCCATTTCCAGCACCACCTTCAAGCCTGGCTCCCATTAACTGCTCTGCCCCTAAACTGCTTGCCATGGCATCCTCATGCTCTGGGATCACCTCAGAGCCCAGCACCATGCTGGGATGCTGGAGCCTGTCCTGTGGCAGCTGTGGGGACATCCCTGTCCACTCTGGGATGGGCTGGGGGAGTGGATGCAGAGGGCACTGGGAGGGTTTCAAGGGCAGCAGGTGATTTGTGGTCAGACACAGAAAAGAACTGAAACTCCCACAGCAAAACCATTCAGAGATCCTGGGGCAGATCCACCCAGGAGGGAGAGAATTTGGGTGCACCCCAGCTTTGCTCCTGGTGTGGATCAAGAACTCCACTTCCATGGTCAGATCCTCGTCCCACTGATGGGAAATAAGTGCATTTTGTTTTTAATGTGGGAAATAAGTGCATTTTGTTTTTAATGTGGCCTGAACCAGAACAGCTCACTGCAGGCTCCTGCACAGTCTGGCTCATGGGACACTGCTTGGAAAGAGGCAACTTTTGGAGTGAATCCTGATGTGCTGAAGGAAGGGACGCTAAGTGGGCACATGGGATGTCTGCAAGCCCTGGAACAGTTGTTGATTCTAATTCCTGCTGCATTCCCAGCTCACTCTTGGACGTTTCAGCTCCATTTCTCACAAAGATCTGGTGTCAGTCTGCTGGGCACTATTTTTCTGGGAGAAAATACTGCCCTGCTAACTAACAGAGAGGGGTGGAGCAGCTCTTTCCAAGAAAGCAGCAGTATTTAGCAGCGAGACACTGCCCAAAAGCATCAAGTCCCACACATGCTCTTGTTTAGCAAAAACTGGATGGGAAGCCTGGAAAAGCAGAGATGTCTCCTCCCAGGGAAAGCAGCTCACAGGCAGCTCTGAGCCCCAGCAGAGCAGGACAGGGTCACAGTGCCACAGCCCAAACCCACCCCAGAGGGCTCCAAACCAGTCCCTGCCACTTCCCTCCTGTATTTTACAGCGTGCCTGGCTGGCTGTGCCAGCTGAGCTGGGCTCCAGCTCCTGCACAGCACCACTCAATCAATACCAGATTCCCAAATCCCAGTGGAGGAGTGGAGGAAGAGGCTGTGCAATAGCCTGGAAAACACAGGGCTGCAGCCAGCTCCATCCAGCTCTTGGATTTAATAGTTATTATTAATAACGGAGGTAAATAGGGCTTTATTAGCTCCTGCCATACTCTGAGCACAAGCCCATATTATAAATAAATAGTGAAGCAGCAAGTTAAGGAAAACACCAATAAATAGCAACACACCACAGAAGTATTTAAAAGCCCCTAGTGGGAGGCTCTGCAAGTTGCTGTTTGAAGATGGTGCAATTAAGTATAATATAATACAGCCATAATAAATAGGGAGAGCTTGGGTGAGCTGCTCCCAGCCAGGCTGTGGTGCTGCTACTTCCCCCAAAAGCCCTTCCTGCAGGGTTTAAGCTTTTGTTGAAGTGATAAAGAAGTTTCTGTTTATTCTCCTTGGAAATTCAAGTTGTTGTTCAGGCAGTGATGTGGGTGTTTGGTGTTTTATCCCAGGACAGGGTGCCCACATGATGTTCCAGGAATGACCAAGCCTTTCTGAGCACCCTGGGGCTGGCCAGGGCTACAAGGTACATCCATGCCAGCTGTGTAGGATGCATTAGGACCCACTCTGCAAAACACAGCTTTGAGCAATGTGGTCTAGTGGACAGTGTCTCCCTACCATGGCAGAGGGCTGGGACTTTAAGGTCCCTGCCAGCCCAAACCTGTCACAAACATCTTTTATGAAAAATCCTTTCCTTAGGATTTTTCCTCCTGAGAAGGTGAGAGGCCTCAGGAACAAAATGTAAACAATGGTTATCTGCTGCTGTGGAATGCAACAGGGGCATCTGGGATTGTCTCATGTGGTTGTTTCTAATTAATGGCCAATCACAGTCAGCTGGCTTGGACTCTGTCTGAGACACAAGCCTTTGTTATTCATTCCTTCTTTTCTATTCTTAGCCAGCCTTCTGATGAAATCCTTTCTTCTATTCTTTTAGTATAGTTAATATAATATATATAATAAAATAATAAATCAGCCTTCTGAGACATGGAGTCAGATCCTCATCTCTTCCCTCATCCTTGGACCCCTGTGAACACCGTCACACAAACCATTCTGGAATTCTGTGAAATAAAATCTGCATCAGATCCCCACAATACGTTTAAGCAAAGAGTGCTTCACCCCAGAATTAATTCCTGGCTTCTTAAAAACACAAGAAATACAAAGATGGTTGTGATTACTTACCCCTTCTAGAGATTTGAGCAGGTTTTGTCTTTCTTTTAGCTTTTGGATACTGATGACTATTTTGTGTCTCGCGCCTTTGGTAACGTTCTGCAAAAACAGGACAAAACTTCATGTTAACACTTCCACAGGGCAGCTGGCCCAACCCAAACCCTTCCTCTCCCAAACAGAAAGGGCTGCTAGAAATTAATTACATTTTTGAGTGCAGGGATTTGTGGGGGACATGGAAAATCAAGCACAGACTTGCTGAGGATAGAGATTTCCAGCTAGCCTGTCCCTCCCTGGTGCACCTCACACATGGAGAGCAATGGTGTTCCCATTCCTCTTTATCCCAAGGATAATGCAGAGGTGAACCTGAGAGCAGTGGGGGTTGCAACCAGATAATCTTTAAGGTCACTTCCAACCCCAATTAGCAATATTCTATGATTCTGTAACATTTGCAAAGGCAGTCAGCCATCAAAGCCCCACTGCCTTTAAGGGAGTTGGCTACCACAAGTTGCACCCCTGAAACTCCTGAACTTAATCCCAGCTAGGCAAAAAAACCCCAAGCACAGCTCCCAGTGATTGGACTTCCATGCTGGGACTCCAGCAACAACAACACAAGGACAAGGTTTATTTCAGGTACTATGCAAGATTTTTTCACTCCCCAAGACCCAATTTCCCTTTTTCTGCTTCCCAACCATGGGAAGACCCACAAAGGGGCTTTGGAAGCTGTCAGCCCCAGGTGAGGTGGGACATACTTGTGCCTCGAGCTGGCATTCGGTGAGGGCCATCATCTCCTCGTAGGTCATCTGGGAGAAGAGGGCGGCGTACTTGTGCAGCCTGAGGCTCTTCAGCCAGGCTGGGACATCTGCAGCACAAAGGAAGGACAGGAGAGCTCCACTGAATTCATGGAACAGCACAACCATGAGCAACAGCATCAGCACCAACATGAGGGGCATCCCAAGGGACACCTCACTGAGCTTCATGGACCTCTGGGAGGACACAGGGCTGTGGGTGTGGATGTGAGGAGGAACCAGGCCCTGGATGAGGACACAGGGCTGTGGATGTGGATGGGACAAGGAACCACGACCTGGATGAGGACACAGGGCTGTGGATGTGGATGGGACAAGGAACCAGCCCCTGGAGGAGGACACAGGGCTGTGAGTGTGAGGAGGAACCAGCCCCTGGAGGAGGACACAGGGCTGTGGGTGTGGATGGGACAAGGAACCAGCCCCTGGATGAGGACACAGGGCTGTGGATGTGGATGGGACAAGGAACCAGGCCCTGGAGGAGGACACAGGGCTGTGAGTGTGGATGGGACAAGGAACCAGCCCCTGGATGAGGACACAGGGCTGTGGATGTGGATGGGACAAGGAACCAGGCCCTGGAGGAGGACACAGGGCTGTGGATGTGGATGGGACAAGGAACCAGCCCCTGGAGGAGGACACAGGGCTGTGAGTGTGAGGAGGAACCAGCCCCTGGAGGAGGACACAGGGCTGTGGGTGTGGATGGGACAAGGAACCAGCCCCTGGATGAGGACACAGGGTTGTGAGTGTGGATGTGAGGAGGAACCAGCCCCTGGAGGAGGACACAGGGCTGTGAGTGTGGATGTGAGGAGGAACCAGGCCCTGGATGAGGACACAGGGTTGTGGATGTGGATGGGACAAGGAACCAGCCCCTGGATGAGGAGGGGAACAACAACAACCCAACATCCTCAGAAGCTGGGTTTCTGTAGGAAAGCCACTGGGATTTAGCCCATGGGGAGTGGCATTGTGCCACTGCACACCAAGCTCCTCACTGCTGTTTTCCCAGGAACATGGAAGTGCTGCAGCTCATGGAGTGATTGAGCTCAGCACAAGCAAAGGGCTGTTTTGTGGATGGCAGACACTGATTTATGGCCTGAGGGATGGTGGCATTGCTGAAAATGGAACTGGATGCTTAAACAGAGCTAGAGAGATGGGTTTGGGATGGAAAAATGATGTGCCATCAAAGATGGCCCCACACCCTGCTTCAGAGGGTGACTTGGGACCTAAAATGCACTGACTGAAATTACTTCTTCTTTCCCAGTTGTTTCCTGCAGGGTAGCACCTCTATGCCCAGCTGGAGGGGTACCCAAAATTACATTTATCCTGCTGACTTCAACATGGTCTCACAGTCAGGAACCTGGGAGGGGAATCCTTTCTCTGTGACATTCAAACCCCCATGGACTCCATGATGAGGTGCTCTCCATGGACAAGGCAATGTGATAACAAGCAGCTATGCAGGGTTTTGCAGCTTTGGGGCTCTGTGGTGACACCCCACAAGGGAGGGGGGCCCTGCAGGTGTCTGTGCTGCAGCACAGCACTGGGCCTGTGACAAGGTTTTTAGTTTGTAAAGGCTTGAAATGCTTTGCCAAATTGAGACTTGCTTTATTCAGCACCTACAACCCCACAGGAGCTCTGCCACAGCTTTCCCAGCTGATGTGCTCTGCTCCCAGCAGTGCCTTGTCCACAGTCCTTGGCCCCTTCCCTACCAGTGAGACACTGGGGAGCTCATTCCCACTGCTGGGACATCCACCTCATGGGTCCACAAAGTCCCACACTGGTGAGCACCACCTGCAAGCCAAGGATTGTCCATGACCTCTTCCTGAACCAAGGTGGTCTCATCAGTGGAAGGGACAGGCCAGGAGAGGCCTTAGTTTGGTTCCCAAGGCAATCCATCCATCTGCCAGAAGTCTCCTGCTGCCCAGGCTGATCCCAAACCCACCCTGCATCCAAGCAGAGGATGCAAACAATCCCAGCATGCTGCACCTTGCTCACACTCCCCAAATCCCAGACACACAGAAATATTCACATGTCAGTGAAATTCCTCAGGTGCTGCACAGGAGACCAAACATGGGGAAAAGCAATGACTGAGCACAGAAGGGCTGAAATTCAGAGTTTTCCAAAAGTTCTGACATGCAAAGTCTGCTACCAGCACGCTCTTAAACTGATTTCTGTTTAAAATAAATGAAAACCTCTCAGCAAAAAGGCCCATTTCCAGCACAGGCTCAAATTTCAACATCATTTTAACACAAAACCACACCATTCTAGTGACAGCACATTAAAAGTCTCCCTGATCCCACATCCCCACGGGACACCTGCCTTTGGCACACATCCATGCCAATGGCCAAGCCCACAGGGATGCTTCCAGAAGAGAGATTCAACCTTCCACAGACATTGAACCCTGCAGGAAACCCTTCTCCAACCTTTGCAGAAGCAGCTCCTTGCCTTTGCATCAGCCTGACTGGATCATGCCTCAGTTTTGGGGAGAGTGATGGTCCCAGAGCCCCCCTGCCAGCAGAGATGGCAATCCTGGAAGCAGGTTGGGGAGAAGGAGCCACCCCAGGACAGACAGAGTGTGTTGTGTGTGGTGGAGTTTCCCCCCTTCCCACAAGGAAGAGGCAACCAGGAGGTGCAAGGACATCCAAGGTGATTTCCTGGTCCCTGGAAAGTCAAACTTCCCAGTGCTCTGCACGGATGGGTGAACCACCTGCCTGCAGAGCTACTCTTTAATCAGCAATTACCAGCAGCTAATTGCACAGTCATGGCACGGCTGTCAGGAAATTTAGAAGGAAAACAACTCACTCTGCAATATTTACACACAGGACACCTTGGATATACTTCCAACAGAAACTCCTGGCTCTACCCAGACCTGCCTTCTGGTGCTCCCCAAGCTCTGCCCCAGGAATCACAGAATCCTGGAATGGTTTGGGTTGGAAGGGACCTTAAAGATTATTTAATTCCAACCCCTGTCCATGGGCAGGCACATGGCAAGGGACAGACAGACAGACTGGGATCTATGGAGAAACAAGTGTCCATATCTTCCCCTGGAGAAACCAAGAGCTAGGATAAAGCCAAAGGGCATCTCCCCTTCAGCATGAAGATAGATGGAAAGAAATGGGAGCATAAAGATAAACAGAAAGGAAAGAAATAGGTGGCACTGGGGGAGATAAACTGGTGAGGCAGATGGGGACCTGTCATGACATTCCAGATCCCGTGGGTCTGGATCCTCCTGGATGCCCTGGAGGGTGTTAAAGAAGGAACCAGCTGAGCAGGACCAGGGGGGACATGCAGCCACAAGAGTCTGCAGGCACTCAGGGAGACGTGGCTGCAGTTCAGGACTTGGCAGCAGGAGCAGCCAGCCTGGATGGAGAAGGAGGCAGCCCCATAAAAATGCAGCGAGCTGCGCGTTTGTTTCTGCAGGAACAAGAAACGGCACCATCGGAGTGCAGGGAACGGGCAGTCCTCTCCTCTCCTCCTCCCTCTCCCTCTCCCTTTCCCTTTCCCTCTCCCTCTCCTCTCTCCTTTTTTTGATTTTTTCTTTCAGGAAAGCTGTGGGGATACAGTGGGTCATATGCAGCTCACAGAGCTTTGTTATTTGAGGACGATGAGCTACGCAGCCACAGGAATGCTGTCTGGAGGCAAACAAGCCTCTGCTCTGCTTCCAAGTCCAGTTTTGGGCAGCACACCTTCAATAAAACGAGGACTTTTTGGAAAAAAACCTGGCGGAGAGAAGCAGGAACAACCCCAAGTTCAGAAAACATCATCTGGGCAGGCAGTGGAATGGTTCAGCTGAAGAAAACCCAGCTGAGGGGGGAGGACAGGGCAGGCAGACACCAGAGGTTGTGAACATCTGTTCTGCACGTCCCTGGACAGGGGGACAGAAGCCATTTGGCTGAGTCAGCAATGGGGGAATCGTTTGGGAGTCTGGAAAGGGACAGCCCGAGGAAGGGTGGACAGACCCCAGCTGCACAGAGCAGCAAGGGGATGTGTTAATATGTGGGGGTTATTTAATTGATCATCATCAATCACAGCCTCTGGGTTTTGTGGATTTGGCCACACAGGTTGATTGCACAGCACTGGGAAGTTTCTCTCCACGCAGATCCCGGAGCTGCAGCTGTGGATCACAGGGAGCAAAGCTCCCCATGGTCTCTTCTCCAGCTCCTTCTGCAGAAACCTGGAGAAATGTAGTGTTAAACAGCTCCCCCCTAGAAATACTTGCTCCCAAAAAGTTCTCCCTGGCCAGACAGACTACAGGACCTGACCTGCCTCTATTACATTCCCTAGAACCATGAGGGGTTTTTCATGCATTTATTTCATGCACATCAAAGCCATCCAGAGCCAAGCCAAATGCAGTCCCACATCACACAGATTTATCCACATCTCAATTTGTCTGTAATTAGACTAAAATCAGACCTTGTGACTGTTAAAAAATACAACTATTTCCCTATTCTGATACACCACTGGTTTGCACACAATCGAGCTGCTTTGCATTAATACAAATTGGAGTTGTTTAAATCAGTCTGAGAGCTGCAGGGTCATTTTCATTCTGTTCCCAGGAACACACAGTTTGTGTGTTTGCCCAGTTTTTAGCTGTTTATTCCTCCTCAGCCTGAAGTTTGCTCTGCATCTTTGACTGCAGCAAGTGGGGTTCATTTTCTGCCTTGTTTACCACCAGAACCACATATATTTATTGCCAAAATCTCTGTGAAATGTAGGTATAATGGGAAAACCAACCGAGACACACAGGTTAAATTCACTGCAAACAAAACTGGCCCAAGCCAAAACTTCCCCCAGATACTTGGAGGGTATCAAACACTGCAATGGCAGATCACACGTGGCTTGCTAAGCTTGCTCTAAGCTATTTTTCACTGTCATAAAAATAAAAAATAAAAAAAAAAAAAAAGAAAGAGAAAAAAGAGCACCACTCGCAGCCAAAAGCCACAGGCAATGGAAAAAATCCAACTTTTTGCAAAGCTGGCAGCTCACAGGGTTTTGGGGCAAAAGCAGCCCACTGGCACCCAAGTGCAAGACGTCAGATCAGGACCAGCTGCTACTTAAAAGAAAACCCAAGGCATTCCCCTAACCCTAAATCCCTAAGGTGGGGAGAAAAGGCTGGGAGGCCCCGCTTGGCCACGAGGATCCTCTCCCCAAAGCGAGCAGGGAGCAGGGGCAGCTCTTCCCCTCCTGCCTCTGGGTGCTGGGGGTGGGTGGGGGGGTCTGGTTTGTCACTCACCTTTCATCCCACTCCCTTCCTCCTGGAATGTGTTACGAGCAGAAGGCTGATCTTCTAAATGTTCACTCCCACCACTTCCCGAAGAGGCTACACTGCTTTGTGGAGACAGGGGGGCATGATCGGAAGGGATGCACTGGGGTCCTCTAGCTCGTAAGTCCTCATGAGACATCCATCCATGTCCTAGAGGTTGGTTTGGCACATTCATGGGTGGGGTAAGGGACACAGAGCGTTTCAAAGGGCTGTGGTGTGTCTGGCCTGAGAGAACTGAAAAAAAAAAAAATAAAATCAAAGAGGTTATTCCCCCCTCGCGGCCCGGGATGCAGCAGAGTCCCCCGAAAAAAAAAAAAAAAAGAAAAAGGAAAAAAAAAATCAAATGAAATTATAAAATGTGTAGTGGTGGTGGTTGGCCATGGTGCCTGGCTGATGGCTTTGCAGCACCCCTGAGCCCTACCCTGAGCTCTCAGCTTTGCCTCCTGGGAAGCAAAAAGGATGGGAGTACCTGTAAGGAGATGGGGTCACACGAGCTACGCTGGGCTGCTCAAGGGAAGGTGGTGTGTGGATTCCAGCTCTAGGGAAAAAACATCAATTGAGCAGTGTAAAAATCCCCAGGATGGGGATGTCCCCACAGAGATCCAGGGGAAGCATCTCTGTGTCTCCCTTTGGGTTAGGACCTGGCTTGTGCCCTGAAGCAGGAGCACTTACACATCTCCCAAAATCACTGCAAGGGTACTTCTCATCCACAGCAATGTCTCAGCCTTGTTGAGTCCTAAGGACCATAGGATGGTTTGCATTGGAAGGGACCTTACAGACCTCATTCTAACTCCCTGCCATGAGCAGGGACACATTCCACCAGACCAGGCTGCTCCAGGCCCTGTCCAAGCTGCCCTTAAACACTTCCAAGGACTATCTCTGTTTCAAGTACTGAAAAAAGGATTAAAAGACTGTTCTGTTTGCTTAACAAAATTCAAACTCCATCACTGAGAGTCACTAACCTACTGGTCTAACCATAAACAGAGTGTATGTAATTTAATGTACAGATTTAGGATGCAAACCAGGGAAAATTTCCCTGCTCCAGGAAAACCTGAGGGCAGAGGGATTAGAATGACCTTCCAGCCTACAAGAAACAGAAGCAAAAACTTTTCAATTTTTCTTTCCAAACCAAATTTTTAAACTGTACAAAACCTGGGGAAATTCATTGTTCTCATGGCTTTTCCATCTAAAGCACCAAAGCCCTAAAGCTCCTTAATCCCCTTTTTGCATTTACAAGCAGTTCACCAAAACCACTCAGACTCCTCTCCATGTTATTATTTAATATAAATGAGTCTTGGTGGAAAACCCCCAGCCAGGTGCACCATGCTGCAAAGGTTAAGCCAGGCTTAATTCCCAGCTCAGGCCTGGGGGAAAAACCACCATCAAAGCCATTTTGCTGACCAGGAGATGCATGAAAATGAGGCACTAGTGGGGTTACAAAAGGAGGGGAGAGAGAAACACCAGAGCACATTTGCATTTATTAACCACCTGCAATAAGCAGCTGGTACCACAGGCAGCTGCTGGATGAGGCCAAAAAACCTGTGGATTTCTGTAATGTTTAAATAATTCCTACTTCTGAAAGGGTTTTCTTGTGCCAACACATAACAGTGACACCACGCTCTGCAGGGAAGTACTGGGGTGGCTTGTGGAGAAGAATTTATTCCCTTCCCTTTTAAAAACTATACAAACATCTTCCAGAAGTCTCTTGGCATAAAAGGATGTCAATGAGATCCTGAGATTGCTTCCAGAGCAGCGTTATGCTTCCTAAAGCTCTGCTGTGATGCACCCCAATGGGGAAATAGATGGATTTCAGAAGGTCTTGGGCAAGTTTTTTCAGCTCTTGGCTTTGCAATTGTACCCCCAAAACAGCATCTGTAGATGCCACATCACCCTCTCAGGAGAAAAATATAGTTAGGATTTAAACCCCCCAAATATAGGGGAAAAAATGGATACATTGGTTAAAATGCATCAGCAGGGCTGAGCATTGGCTCCACATCACCCAGAGCCCTTGTGTGCCTGCTGCCCCCAGCCATGGCCACTCTGCCATGGGGAGAGAATTCACCCTGAGTCTGTTGTAGGAAAAGCTCTGGTTTGGGAAATATTTGTGCCCCTCAGATGAAGGAGAGATGCAGAGAAGGGGCAAGGAGGACTGAGGTTCATTGTCCCCTTTCAGGAGGCCAAGGGCTGCTCTGCTAATCCAGCTCCTACAGGGTGTGTGCAGACACTGGTACCCAGCAGTGCTTACACCACCCTGCACACAAGAGGGCATTTTAGGCATAAATCCAGCCCAGATTCCTTCACGAGCAGCAATACCCTGCAAACTGCTGCTCTTCCATCTTAATTTCATGTCCCCTAATTAGAAGCTGGTGTCGGCTGAAGGAGAAATAATGAACTCCAAAGGATGGCCAGGGACAATTAGAAACCATCCAGTGCACCAGACAAAAATCAGTTCCTCTTCTTGCCCTGACATAATGCAATGCTGGATCCAAGAGAACACCTTCTACTAAGCCAAATTTTTACTGAAGTGTGAGTCCGTTCCCACATCACCTGAGATGCAGCAGGGAAAATCCCTCTGCAAAGGATGCTGCCAGTGCCCAGCTCTCTGAAACCACCTGGGGACCAAACTGAGGTGATTGAAGGGCTCTTAGCACTGGCCTAACTTTAGGGTCTGCTTTTTATTGGTGATAATGTGGTTTCTTGCAACCCCCCTCAGCCATTTCCATCAGCCCTAAAAATGCTGAGAATACTGGGATGGCATCCCTCTTTTACTGTAATCCCCAGGGGATTAACAAATGCCCATATTTATTATATCTATTAATAATTTATTAATAGTATTTATTAATAATTTCATTAATAATATTTATTAATGTTGTTGCTTGTGGTCACGCCCTCAATTTCTTGAAATAAGAGGATGTAGCTAATTATTTCCAAAGCATCAGTTTATTGTAGGTCCTGACCAGAATTTGACCATTCTGTGTGCTTTTTGGATGGTCCAAGGTGAATCCAGGGCTGCTCCTGGCTAAAATAAATGGTCCACGTGGGCTTTAACTTCAGCAGAAGAAAAGCAAGTGCGAGTTTATCACCTTACACTCATGCCTCCTCTTCTTTTACTACAAAAATATCAAGCTTAAATTTAAAAAGGAAATCTAAAATGTTATTCTGGGCCAAGATAAGCTCCCAGGAGGTGGGTGGGCACGGCTGCCTCTCTGAGTGCTGTGAGCTGGGCAAACAAAGAGGGGAAATCACCACTCCAAAGGGCATCCCACGCTGGCACAAGGATCCCCTACAGCCTTTAGGCATGCCCCACTTCTGGCTTAGAAGTGTTTTCCTGCCCTTCAGGTGCTGCAAGACTTTACACAGGCACTGCCTGGTCCAGCTCCTTCCAAGCTGGTGTGCAGTGGGACAGGGGCTGGAGCAGATCATGGTTTTCCCTGGAAAACCCTGGGCTGGTGCTGCCTCTTTGCTCTGAGCAGCCAGGGTTGTGCTCAGCCCACACCAGACCAGGTTTCCTTGCAAGAAACCTCTCCATGATTTCCAGACTGGGATCAAGCTCAGGGTAATATTCCCAGGTTTTAAAAAAAAAAAAAAAAAAAAAAAAAAAGGAGGGGATGGAGAAGGAGTGATGGCAACAAAGCTCCCCATGACTGCAGGCAGCTGCTGACCACGCTGGGAGCATCCCTGTGGCACCACCCCCTCCCCAGGCAAATCTGGATTTATCTCAGACCAAACCCTGGCTGGGCTGGCAGGCACCACAACACACTTATAGAAACTCTGAGGCTGCAAGTGCTCTCACCCCATGAAGCCTTGGCTTTGGGATTTTTCCCTCCCCCCTCTTTTCCCTTTTGAAGTGGTGCTGCCTATTTTGGGAGGCAAGGGCTGATTTCAAGAGGGTTTTTGTTCACTGAGGACCATGTGGAACAGCGTCAGACATTTGTGTTGTGGTTTCTCAGGGTTTTGGGCCAATTTTTTTTCAGCCTGAGAAGGGAAAAGCCACCCATTCCTGTGATTAGAGCTGAGAAATTGGGCTCTGCAGGCAGACCTTCCTCCACACAGTGTGGGACAGCTGACAAGGTGCTCACTCTCCCTCTCCCTTGGTGAAACCTGGCTTAGAGTGCTGCAAAAGTCCTTGATAGGACACACATGTGAGAGCTTCCAGTGAGAACCAAACCCACCACTGGGAGGGTTCAGAATGTCTCCAGCCCTCATCAAGCCCTTGATACCCAAAGGACCAGCAGTGGGTCCATAAATCAGGTTACAATTCCAAATAACATCTTCCCCATGCTTGCAGAAAGGAAAAAGCACTGCAAGGGAAAAAAAAAAAAGGAAAAAGCACTGCAAGGTGCATACTGAACCCTTTGGGACCTTCTTTTGTTTTTTTTGTTTTTTTTTTTAGTTTAAAAATGGCACTTCTTGGCTGCAAAGCTGTTTATGGTGAGTCCCCAGGCAGCATCTGATCACACACAGCTCCTTTCCTGGTCTGTTGGTACCTGGAACAGCAGCCTGACCCCAAAAAGTGGGGATGTTTTTAATCCAGTTTTGTGCAGCCTGGAAGCTCCCCCGTGGAGAGGGAACACTGAGCACCCCCCTCACAAAGCAAACCCCAAGTTCAACCCAGTCCTCCCCTCTGCCTGCTCCTTGCCATCCCAGTCACGACACATCCTCTCCTCCAGGAAGGCTTCCCCGTGCTGGCAGAGCAATGCCCAGGGCTTTTCCAGCTTTTCTTTGCCCAGAACCCTTGGAAAGAGCTGCCAGTGGGTCACACTGCCCAGCTGGCACCCAGCCTCCTTCCTGGGCACCTCATTCACCCTCTCCCCAGGCTGCCCCAGGCAGCTCCAGCACAGCCAGAGCAGAACCTGATGGAACATTTTTTTGCTCAACATCCCCTAACCCTTGGAGCCTCTTTTTGTGCCTTTTTTCCTTTAATCTCCCTGTGTTCTGTGGCTGTGACTTCTACACAAACTGTGTTTATAGGAGCTGGATATTCCATGTGCTGGCCTCTGAACCATGAGCTGATCTAACCCATGAAGGGGTGAAATTCAGGGTCCTAAATCCAAGAAGCCACCGGGGAAAACGAAAATTGTGGAATTAGGAAATTAGTGGTGTTAACCCCTGCATGAGGATAAAACCCCATCCAAGCAGAGTGCTGCCTCAAGCAGGGAAGAAGCACAGCCTGCAGAAAAGACTGTCAAGCAAACCTTTTTAAAGAAATGGTGTTTTTAAACACAGTTTCCTGT